CATGCAATAGAGTTGCAAATTTATCCATCTTAGCATCAGGAAATAAATGAAATTTTTTGTATAGCATATAAAACACTCTCACTTTCTTTGGATGAGAGAGGAAAGAAAATAAAGAGATAAAATAGTAAAAAAAAATTCAATTATCTTTATTTTATTATTTTCCTACCTTTTGTTTGGATGAGAGGAAAATATCAATATTTTTCCTTATTTTGAAAGCTATAATTTTATAATTTTAATCCATATTTTTATTTTTATTTTTTTACCTATAATATGGATGCGTGCTATTGTAATTTTATATAAATAATGTCATATTTTCTCTCTTACGTGCTTATTTACTCTCTAGTTTATAGAGCTTGGAATTTTGTGAGCCTAAGCGAATTTTGTACATATTTTATTTCCTTCAATATTTTTTTCTTATTTCCCAAACAAGGTAAAAATCACTTTTCTCTAATATTATTTTCATTTCATCCAAACATAGCATTAGTAATTAGATTACAGTGACACTTAGATGCCAAATTGTTTATTTGCATATTGTTTTCATTTCCAACTTCGTTCTTTTTTTTTGTTTGTTTGATACATTGCATCATTTTATCTTTCTTCTATCATGTGAATTGAGTTTTTAAATACTCATTTTGAATTGAAAAATGGTTACAAAGCTATGCTTTTATTTATTTTTTTCATAAGAACACATCTTTTTCATTTCCTTCTCCTCATGCAGTATTAATCATTTACGCACGTAACATAAAAAAATTTATTGCTTCCTATATCGTTTGACCTGGTATAATTGTATGAATGACTTATCTTTCAGATAAAAACTTCATAGGCCATGAGCAAATGGCTTAGCAAAATTTTTTAAGTTTCCAAACATAATATTTCAGAAAGCCGTTAACATGGGAATTATGAAGAGGATCCTAATTACTGTAGACACTAAAATTTTATTAAGTTAATTTAATTATTAACTTAATTATTTAATTTAGTCAATTAAATTATTGGTTAGTTAAATTAAATAATTTCCGTTAACCATGGGAATATGAAGAGGATCCCTAATTACTGTAGACACTATTTTTATTAATTAATTTACATTATTAATTAATTTTTTAATTTGTCACCAATTTAATTAATTGGTATAAGATTACTGTAGACACTAAAATTTTATTAAGTTAATTTAATTATTAACTTAATTATTTAATTTAGTCAATTAAATTATTGGTTAGTTAAATTAAATAATTTATTTTAATAACCAATCAAAATATTTAAATGGTTATTTTATTGGATAGAATTTATTTACTACATTAATAAGTAATGTAGTAAAGTCCAATAAAAATTGAATAAGTGGACTAATTAAATTAAATCTTGGCTAATAAGCCAGACATCTACATAAGCTAAGTGATGCAGCAGCAGCCAATGAGAGCTTGCCAAGTGGACCAATCAAATTAGATACTTGGCAAGGAGACTTCCTCAAATGTCGATAAATAGGAGGACTCTCTTCACATACGGGGACATACACACATATAGAGAGAAAGACAGAAAAAATGCCTAAAAGCTCTGTCAAACTCGAAACTACAAAGCTTTCTCTTAAGTCCAAAGAATCAAAGTTCTTTCAACTTCAATTCAAGATCAAGTCTCTTCGACCCTTGAATTGTCCAAACTTCATTCTACATCAATTCAACATCAAGTCCCTTCGACCGTAGAATAGTATTTAAGATCAAGTCGTTTTGACTCTTGTATCCACACATATAGAGAGAAAGACAGAAAAGAAGTCAACAAGCTCTGTCAGACTCAAGACTACAAAGCTCTCTCTCAAGTCCAAAGAATCAAAGTTCTTTCAACTTCAATTCAAGATTAAGTCTCTCCGACCCTTGAATCGCCCAAAGTTCATTCTACATCAATTCAACATAAAGTCCCTTCGACCGTAGAATAGTATTTAAGATTAAGTCGTTTCGACCCTTGAATTGTGTCCAGGATAACAAAGAGAAGAATCAAAGGATAATCTTCTTTGTAATGGAAGATTCCACGCTAGGGATTATATCCACTTATTATCATAAATTCAATTTGTATTTTTGTATTATTATTTCTTAATTTTCAAAAACAAATTTTATGCTTGCACTATGTACATTTTACTTCTGGATATTTTTCATGCCAATTCTTTACCATTATGGGATTAAGGATTTTGTTTCACAAGGCTTAGATATTTGATTAGGAAGTAGAGATTGACATATTCTTACTCTTTCCTGCAAATGACATTAATATTGAATTAAAAAAATAATATAATTTGTTTTTCCTTTTATTGACTAGGTTTGATATATGCCTCTTTCCAATCCAACACATGGACTGTTTGAGTTTTTGTTTTTTTAATCAAGTTATGGAGAATTTTAGCCAAAAAATTGAAAAAAATCATTTCGTACATCTGGCCTAAGTTCAGAGAGCAAAATGAATCTTATTTCTATGTAAATTGATATCTTAACTGAAAAAAAAAAAAATTAAGTTTACCCATTAAACAGTTTGAAAATTAATATTATATATGTTGAACCCTTTGAGATGTAAAATTATATCTATTGAACAAAACTTTCAATTATTATATGGATGCTTAATAAGTGTGATATTTTATATATTTTGAAACAATAATTAAATTATAACTTTCACACTTTTTAATTTTCTGATAAGAGTTAAATAAGTACAGTTTTTTGAGCCAAAATATTCTTTCCTTACTCTCTTATTTTTTTTTTTTTTTCTTACTCTCTTATTTTCTTTCCTTTCCTTTATATGAGCATAGTGTGAATTGATAAAATTTTTATATTTCAGCCACTTGATTATAAAAAAAATTTTCAATTAAACACTAAAATAAAATATTTTTTGTGATATAAAAGTGTAACTTTTCGAAAAATACATAAAATGCTTGTATTTGATTGTATTATCAATTTTACTTTCTAAAAAGTACGCTCGTAATTTCTTTAGGGGATAATTGGAAAGTTACAGTTTTCTAATTACGTGCAAGAAATTTGCTAACTTATCCTATTATCTAAATATACTTAGATTATTATGGATATTATTATCTTTTGCAATTTGAGTGCAATTTACTCCCAAGAAGTTGATTTACATAACAAACACATTCAAATTATACTTTCTAGAAAATAATTTCCTTGTGTTTACTTTCGGAAAAAGAAGCCTTTAAAAAAAAATTCAAACACCAAATTTTAAAAATTATTATTTTATCCTTGCATTTTGTCAAAATTTACTATTTTATCTAGGCATTTTTTGAAATATACTAATTTTTCACTACGTCATGCATATGTTATAATACTTTGTCTTCCTATCATTTTTTTTCTATTAAAAATTACAAAAAAATTACTAAAAATGCAAAAATAAAATAGTTAATATTGACAAAATATAAAGATAAAATAATTAATTTTTTCAAAGTAATTACAAATATTGATGGAAACAATACAAAAGAAATCAACAAAAAGATAAAATAGTGTAACAATGCAAAATATAGAGAAATTAGTATATTTTCATAATTCAGGAACAAATTAGTATATTTTGACAAAATAGAGTGATAAAATAATAGTCTTCCTTTAAATTTATAATTAACTCAAAAATTATAAAATTTTACAAAAAATGAAAAGTTTCCCTAAATTTTAGTTAAATCAATATATGAGAACCTATATTTCAAAAACTGATTGTGATGTCTTTAAATTTTGACTCTATTAACATTTTGATGCTTCTGTCAAAATAACCTCTTTTGACTATCAATTAATAGATAAATTGTTCCCTAAATTATAGTCGAAGTAACTATGAGTTCTCCAACTTAAAATTTTATTCTGTTAACAGTTTGGTCCTCTGATAGATAAAGGAACCAAGTGTTAACAAAATTATAATTTAAAGCCTTGATAATTAATTTTTAAACGGCCTAACCATTACTTTCACCTTGACCTTTTTGAGTAGTTGCGATTCTACTCTAAATCGAAGTTATATCCTGGGCACTCTAAACTTATCAACATAATTGCAATTATACTTTAATTTGCTTTTAAGGTGCAATTGCACCCTAAAATGGAATTAGAGTACCCTAAACTTAATTTGTTGCAATTTCACCCTAAAAACAAATTAAGGTTAAAATTATAATTAAAATAATATAGAAATGGATACCATAGCCAATCCAAAACTTAATTAAAGGCAATACATAACATTTGAATTAAAAGCAAAAATTTATCATATTTTTCTCCTTTTGTATTTAACTTATTATCTTTCTCTCCTTTTAGAAAATTAAACAATGGCTACAACCACCGGGACAAAAGAATCACCATTTTTTTACATTGTTTTAATCAAAATTCCAACCTTTGTTCACTTTTAGGGTGCAATTGTAATAAATCGACTAATTCAGAGTGTTATAATTCACCTTTAGAGTGAAATTGCACCCTAAAAGCAAATTAGGGTATAATTACAATTAAAATGATAAGTTTAGAGTTGCCAAGGGCACAAAAGTTGATTTATAATGAAATTGTAAGTACTCGAAAAGTTGAGAGTGAAATTGAAGGTCGGAACATTTTTGAAAATAGAAATCCTCATATACTAAAAAAAAAAAAAAAAAAAAAAAAAAACTTAAATTAGAACCTTTGAGTTACAGTCAATAAAAAAAAAAAAAAAAAACTAAATTAGACCTTGAGTTACAGTCAAATTAACATATAAAGATCTCTATTTCAAAAACTAACTGGAGATCCCTAAATTATGACTTTATTAATTAGTCCTTCCATCTAAAAAAAATGAATCAAAGTGTTAATAGAAATCATAAGTAAATAATCAAAATATTAACAAAGATCAATTAAAGACGTTAGAGTTAATTTGGTCATAATTTAAGAATTAATTTCTCAATTAATTGACAATTAAAATATGCTATTTTAGATGAAAGCAGTAACGTGTTAACAAAATTATAAATTAAAAACTTTATAGTTTAGTTTTAACAATAAAAGTCCTCGTATGTTAAAGTAGCTATATTTTTAGGACCAATTTATTTCTTTACAAAATTTTGCCAGGCAGAGGGCATGCCGTAATGCCTAGCTTATAAAAGTGCTAGTACTATTTCTGAACCGTAGAAGGTTGGTGCCAGTACTCATTCGAGTTTTCTCCGAGTCTGGGCCGGTCAAAACGTGTGCGAAGAAGAAGAAAATCAAAGAGACAAAGAAGAGGATTGCAGTAAGAGAGGCAGTCTGCACCGGACAAAACTCAGGACATCCGTCGCCGATGAGTCGATCAGTTACCAGCACAACCCCTAAAATCCTTTGGTGACATATTTCTCCGGAAAACTAGTGAAAACGAGAAAACCCTAGCGCGTTTTTACCTCTGTTATTTTTGCCGAAACTGATCTTCGAAGGGTATCTAGAGTTGGGTATGCTTAATTTCATATATCTTTAATTTATCCATGAGAGAGATTACACAAGCATTTTTTCTTAATCTAGTCTAATTAGCGATTAATTTCTCTTGTAAATTCGTAAAGCAAATTTTGACACAGGGTGCTCTTAAATTTAAGATTTTGCTCTTCATGTTTTATGAACTTGTTGTTTGATCTTTGTAATTTGGGTTTTAAAAACATTTGATGAACTATCTACTTAGGCGAAACTGAACTAGAATGGTACTACAGCATTTTGGCGTACGTATTGAGATTGCTGTATGGTTTATCTGACTGGCTTCATTATATATATATATAACACTTTAGTTTTCTTTTTTATTCTTTGAGTATTTTTAATCTTTGGATTGAAATAAGTTTGGGTTCTAATTCAGTATCCTTATATCAATTTTGTGATAACATTTTTGAAGGATACAAAAAGACTTTGGATTGCTTCAAGGGGCATATGTAATGATTAACTTATTCAGGAACTGGTATAAATGGATTTGGGACATGTATTTAGGGGTATTGGGAATGATTGATGGTAAATATTTAGGTATTGGTTTAGATGAGCTTTAGGACATGTACTTAACGGGACTTGGATAGTAACTTGTTCAGGAATTTGGAGGCAGACCATTTTTGTAGGTACTTCCCCCTAAAAGGTCGGGCAAAGTTGAAACATCAGTCACGTGCTTTTTTGAGTTTAAGCACAAGAAGCTAGAATCTATGGTAACTTCTAATGCAGAGGTAATAAAAACCCATAATTTCCTTAAAAAGCAAATTGAGGTAAAAAAGAAGTTGCAGAACTTTGTAACTTCTAAGATTCTTTAGGTCTAACATAATTTTTTTTATTAGACGTGTCCACATTCCACAACAATATATCTTAGATGTACATGTCAATCTATTTGAATAAGTTTTAATGCAATTTAAGTATATGTTTATAGCATACTAATATGATATGCTTTTATGCTAAGAAAGCATTGATATGCTCTGTTCACCTTTTTATTTTATTTTTTAAAAATATGATAGACTACTTAAGGATTGGACTTACAATTTAATCATATTGTTAGTAAAATAGTTGAGATTGAGAAATGCATGAAATTCACCAAGGAACCTTCATTTTGGTTAAATAAGATCTTGTGGCATATATTTTATAGGAGACTTTCTATATACAACTGATAATATTTCTATGTATGCGCTAACATTATTTACTCTGTCAACTCACTAAACTTGGTGGCACTGAATTTAGTTAGACCATCTATGTTTATATAACATTTTTCTATGTGCTGATTAGTGTGCCTGCATGCTTGTAGATAAACATCAAGTATGGCTGCAGCAGAACCGGCTCCATCTTCCCTAGGGCCTCGTTATGCCCCAGAGGATCCCACCCTTCCTAAACCTTGGATGGGACTGATTGATGGAAGCACTGGCCGTTTATATTATTGGAACCCTGAAACTAACATCACGCAATATGAGAAGCCAGCCTCTTTACCTCCACCATTACCACCTGGCCCACCTCCTCCTGCTTCTACTCCTAAGTTGGCTCAGATACCAATGGCTCATTCAGCGGCACAACCAAATGGCTTGGTGGTTCAGATTGCACAACAGATACCACAGACCACAGTCCAGCAGGGTCAGCAGATCAGTCAATTACCTCAGCAGGCTCAAGCCACGCAACAGATTACTCAAGTAACACAGCAGCTGGGGCAACAGAGCAACCAGTTGCCTCAACAGCAGGGACAACTAATGCCACAGCAGCAGAGTCTCCCAGTATCACAAGTTTCTAATCAGCTGATTGCACAACAAGGTTCACAGTTGGGGCAGGGCATGCAACAGCCAGGACAGGTGAGGCCTCAAATGGTGCAGCATCCTGGTCAGCAGATGGTATCGCACATGGGGCAGCAAATGCCTCAGCAGGGAGGTCTGCAGTTGCCGCAGCAATCAATGCAACAACAACCCAGTCAGCTGATGCCTCATCAAATAGGGAATGTGCTGCAAAATCAGAACTTACAAATGTCACAACCACAAGGACAACAATATGCATACCAGCATTATATGACATATCAGCAGAACACCCTTCCGCAACACCAACAAAGCTCACAGCAGGCATTTCCTAATCAACTTGATTATAAGGCAGGATTCCCAAAGAGGGGGGAAGTTGATTTTCAACAAGGAAATCAAACTAGTTTTTCACCGTCTCAGTTCCAACCATCTCAGTTTCAACAGTCTGTTGCACAGTCGTCTCAAAACCTGTCTGTGGGAGGTGATTCAGCTTCAACACCTCACACAGGTGCTCATTTGGGTCAATCTCAACAGTTCATTGGTTCTGCTGTTAATGTGCAACAGCCTGCTTCCATGGCCCAGTTGCAGCAAACTGGGGATGATGTTGTTCACCAGCAACATGGTCCTAGGTTTCAAAATCACATCGGTCCATCAATGATGCATAATCAACAGTCTAATGTGCCCCTTCAGAAGTCTAAGAATATCCATGGTGGGTCTGGTAGTGATTACTATTTTAATGCTACAATGGAAGGGCCTATAGTTAGTTCTTGTCAGCCTAAGCTTGCAGCCATACCAATGGGGATAAATCAGCAGGTATGTGTATGAAACTTTTTTTTTTTCATCGTCCTTTTCATGTATCATAACTGTACATACATGCATAAGCCAATAGATACCAGTTGAAACGATTTGTTTGATTATAAGTTATCCTCTGTTCCCAACCTAAAATAATTATGATGTAGCATTTGAGCATTATTGATCCTCCAATGTAAATGTCATACATCTTCTCTTTCGGTTTTCATACCAAAAGATGTGTTTTCTATCTGTTCAGGAGGCAAGGATGGGTGGTGTGCCTTTTCAAAATGTCACACCTGGTTACAATGGTGGATTTAACTCAGCCGGGCATAACATGCATAATATGTATAATCATGCGATTGGTGGTCCGCAGTTTCCTAACAATGCTTTGATGAGGCCCCCTTTTGTTGGAACTTCTGATGTTAGTAACCTTTCACCTGCAGAAGCTTATTGCCAAGAACATGAAGTCACAGCTACGGTCTGTACTTTAATTTGATTGGATTCTATACTAAATTATTAATTCATTAGCATGCGCACACACATTTGAACGACGTATATATTTATGTAGTTGAACACGTGTTTTTTGGATACATGTGGCTAATGGATATTGCAAGTCTTTGAGTAATAAGTACTGACTATTGTTGTTAAGAAATAAAAAGTAGATTGTCTCAAAGAAACCACTGAAATTAGCTTTCATGGTAGTTCAGTTGCTAAGTCTACCGGTAGACTGTATAACAATGTTTGTGTATATAACTTCCGTTTAGTTTTATATGTACACACACATGTGTGCATAGACATACACATATGTAGGGCACCATCATAAGATGATGCAGAACTGCTTGGAAAAACTTGAAGTTTTTAAGAGCAAGGGTTTACAGAAACCAAGAATTAGGTCTTGAAAATCGCTATGGTAGATCTGAATTTCTTTAGAAAATAAGGGAAAAATTAAGCAAATAAGAATACACTGCTCACTTCACACTAATAGAATCTTAGGCTCACTTCTGTCAAGAAAGTATCACACTTTCTAGTGTCAGAATTGCATCATTACTACTTGAATATAAAAGCGTAATTTGCTGTAATTTCATTGACTGAAACTTAATTAAAAAGCATTACTAGCATGGTTATTTATAGACCCAAACTATTCCAAATGTTAATAGGAGTTCCTCGTATCGGTATTCCTTGACTAGAAACTTATTATTATTATTATTATTATAGACATATAAATGCAACTCTAAGAGGCACTGGAAATGTACTATGATTCCTAAAATAAATTCTAGATGAAAATTTAGACCAGAATTTTAGCTTTTGAATTTGGATTTTCCTGGTTTCCTTGGCCACACCATAAGATAGAAGTAAGAAAAGAAAAAAAAAAAAAAAAAAAAAAAAATGTACTATATTCCTAAAAAATATAATCTAGATGAATAATTTAGACCAGAAATTTTAAAAAGCTTTTGAATTTGGATTTTCCCTGGTTTCCTTGGGCCACACCAATACAGATAGAAGTAAGAAAAGAAAAAAAAAAAAAAAAAAAAAAAAAAAAGAAACACAATTCACTTCATTCTTGCACCTACAGCCCATTCCCTATTTTTCTAAACTCTTCCGATGCCTCTTATCTCCCCATTCATTTAGAAACCTTTTTAACTCCTTTTCTGTCTCTCGTCAGCATGAGCTTTTTTTCCTCCCTGTACAGAACCTCGACAAATGATATTTCAAAATAAAGTGGCCCCTTCTCATTTTCCTCACATCTGTTTTTTTGTCGCAATTTATATGGCTGGTGTTTCTCTTAGGCCTTCAGATTTGTGATTTGTCTATCAGAAAAATTGATAGATTGAATTGGTTCTTTGAAATTTCCTATTCTCTAAATCATGTGCTTTTAAGGGATTTTTTTCTTCTTTTTTGTGTTTCTTAATTTTGAGACTTGTTTTAATTTTGCTTTTCCTGTGAGTGGGATTTGAGGCTCTCTTCGATTTTGTATGTATTTCAAGTTAGATTCTTCGGTCGAGCATGTAATTTTTTTTTAAAGTTGGTTTTGCATTTGATTACAAAAGGGGGAAAACTAGTTTGATTTAGAATTCTTCTTACGCTTCATGTTGTCCACACAATAAAACTTGGGTTTTGCTTGTACCATTTGAGTTTTGGATGGAATTCTTTTAATGGAAACAAATGATCTAAAAAGGTTATTACAGTAGAGATAGTCTTATTTATTCTTCTCCATCAAGCCCTTTTTTTACTGTTATTCTGAGAACTAAAACAAACAGCAGCCCAAACCAGACAACCAAATTGAACCAGAATTATTAAGTTTGGTTTAGTTCGAATCTGTACTATGTTTGGTTCTGTTGGGTTCAGATTGTAATAGAATTTGCTTATTTTCGCTTTGAAATTTTCAGATTGAGCTATACCAAATTGAACTGCATGAAACCCTACCCACTACTAAGTTGAACTAAAGATTTTCTGTATAATCCAACTCTCTAATCCATAACACATATTGCTGTTATGATAATTGGGATCCATGCTCCTTCCAGTTACTTTTCTCTTCTTTGAGATTTGTATGGTTTCATGAGAATCGGGTAATTTATTCTCCAGATGCATAAGATTTTGGTAGCCCTGATAGCTGTAGATATTTGTAGAATTTGTTATTTCCTAGTGTATTCTAGGAAGATTCTTTGAGGATCTCATTTTCTGTTTGTGCATTTCTTTTTTGCCTGTTTCCCCCTTTGAAAAGTAACACTCCTATCTTCTGTGGGAGAGTAAAAAAAGAGAAAAGGAAAGGGGGGGGGGGGGGAGGAAAGGGGGGGGGAAGGGGTTGGTAGTTAAGGGTGTTGGGGGTTTGTAATGTGTGTTTGCATTTAAGGTTTAAACATGGGGGGGGGGGGGTTGGTAGTTAAGGGTTTGGGGGTTGTATGTGTGTTTGCATTTAAGGTTTCATTGTGTTGTTCCTGTTTTGGGTTAACTTCTTCCTAATTTCTTCAGTTTGGGTAGTATGTGACTTCTGTGTCCTGTTTTACTGCATAGGGTGACAATGTTCCTGCTCCATTCATCACATTTGAAGCCACTGGTTTCCCTCCTGAGATATTGAAAGATGTAAGTTCTACCCCTACATGATGTTAGATTCTATGTAATGGTTTTACAAAACAATCGTGCGATCTGCTTTATTCTGTTTTTTAGTTATTGTAGCCTTTTGAATTGTTTTAAACTCATTAGTTCTCACTTGTCGCAGGTGCGATATCTGCTCCAGACGAGGAGCATATGTCGTACGCTGCTCTGCTATTGGCACACTTATACATGCAACAACTATTCTGATTTTTGGAGGCTGCAAAAAGGACTGTTGGGGCCTTTCTTGTGCATCTTCTAGGAGGGCGGTTGGCCATTTGTCCAATTCACACCTGTGTGACTGGGATTTCTTGCTTATTGGCTCCGCCTCATATGTCTTTGTTGCCCTATTAGTTGCCTCGAGTTGCTTCTGTAAGCAACTCTATAACTGTGGATTTCTTAGTTTTTTTCCCATCATGACACTGTATTGATACTTTTTTTTTTAAAAAAAAAAAATTCTTCTAGGTGTGGTCACTTTTCATGTGTTTAACTTATTGGTTCTCATTATCTATTCATTATTTTTCTATTTCAGATACATGCTGCTGGGTTCTTATCCCCTACTCCGATCCAGGCACAGACATGGCCAATTGCACTACAAAATCGGGATATAGTCGCAATTGCCAAAACTGGTTCTGGTAAAACGTTGGGCTACCTGATACCTGCCTTCATTCTTCTTAGACAATGTGGAAATAATCCTCAGAATGGCCCTACCGTGTTGGTTTTAGCTCCAACAAGGGAGCTGGCCACACAAATACAGGACGAGGTGATAAAATTTGGTCGATCATCGAGGGTCTCATGCACGGTGGGTCTTGTTTCTTCATTACTAAAATAGTTTCTAAAACTGATAGTTTTCCTTTGGAATTTTGGTCTGTTACATGACTCCATCTGTTATTGCAGTGCTTATATGGTGGAGCTCCAAAGGGCCCTCAATTAAAAGAGCTCGATCGAGGTGCAGATATTGTTGTGGCTACTCCTGGTCGACTCAACGATATCCTTGAAATGAAGAAGATTGACTTTGGGCAAGTTTCACTGCTTGTGCTTGATGAGGCTGATCGAATGCTTGATATGGGTTTTGAACCTCAAATTCGTAAAATTGTGAATGAGATACCTCCTCGGAGACAAACACTTATGTACACTGCAACCTGGCCAAAAGAAGTGAGAAAAATAGCAAGTGATCTTCTTGTTAATCCTGTTCAGGTGAACATCGGCAGTGTTGATGAGCTTGCTGCAAACAAGTCCATCACTCAGGTAAACTGTAAACTGGTTCATTTTTGTTGCTGTGTGATTGCACTTGAGAGTTTTATGTTTGTAGAGAACTTCTGAAACTTGTTGAAGGTTCACTTTCTCCTTTGGCAAATGATTGTTAATTTTTTACATGATTCAAAAAGTTATATGGTTCTTTTGCATTTTGATTATTTTCCCTGTTCTACCAAATTAGATAATGTGAATTGAATCTGCAGTATGTTGAAGTGGTCCCACAAATGGAGAAGGAGAGGCGCTTGGTGCAGATCCTCAGAGCACAGGAGAGAGGTTCAAAAGTCATTATTTTCTGTTCCACTAAGAGATTGTGTGACCAGCTTGCCCGCAGTATTGGGCGCAACTTTGGAACTGCTGCAATCCATGGAGACAAGTCTCAAGGTGAAAGAGATTGGGTGTTAAATCAGTTCAAGAGTGGAAAATCACCGATTTTAGTTGCCACAGATGTTGCTGCCCGAGGTCTTGATATCAAAGATATAAGGTTTAACTCTCGCATTTCTATTGTATGAATCAAACTTATGCAGATTTATTGGTGGAGATACTGGGAATATGGGAGTTACTGCTTGAATGCCTAATAGTAGTATTTGAGCTCAAAATACTTCTTTTGAATCTCACGCTGTATTTTAATGATACAGGGTAGTGATAAACTATGATTTCCCCACTGGAATTGAGGATTATGTCCACCGAATTGGTAGAACTGGAAGGGCCGGTGCAACAGGTGTGTCTTACACCTTTTTCTCAGAGCAAGATTGGAAATATGCTGCCGATTTGGTCAAAGTTCTGGAGGGAGCTAACCAGCATGTGCCCCCAGAGGTGCGAGACATGGCTTTGCGTGGTGGGACTAATGTTGGCAAGGATCGTGGTGGAACCCATCGTTTTGATTCTGGTAGTGGTGGCAGTCATTGGGATTTTGGGGGCCGTGGTGGCATGAGGGATGGTGGCTTTGGTGGCCGTGGTGGCATGAGGGATGGTGGCTTTGGTGGCCGTGGTGGCATGAGGGATGGTGGTTTTGGTGGCCGTGGTGGCCGTGGTGGGTTCAGGGATGGTGGCCGTGGTGGGATGAGGGATGGAGGCTTTGGTGGACGTGGTGGACCTAGGGAAGGTGGCTTTGGTGGACGAGGGGGCCGAAATGAGTTATCTTCAGGGCGTGGAAACAGGGGACGGGGATATGGTGGTCATGTTGGTTGGGGTAGGAATGAACATGGTCTGCATGATCGACACACCAATATGGATGGTCGTGGACGTGGCCATGGAAGGGGAAGATTTGATGGGAGAAGAGATGTTGAAAGGAACAGAGATAGAAGTTATAGTCGGAGCCCAGAGAGGGATAGAAGTTGGGGTTATAGCCGCAGTCGCAGCAGAAGTAGGAGCTGGAGTCGCAGTCGCAGTCGAAGTTGGTCCCGTGGCCGCAGTCGTAGCTACAGCCGCAGTCCTCGACGTGGCAACAGTTACAGCCGCAGTCCTCGACGTAGCCGCAGCTACAGCCGTAGTCCTAGAAATAAGTCAAATAACCGCAGCCGTAGCCAAAGCTATGATAGAGCTGAGAGGCCAAATGAAAAGAACTTTGATGAGAATGATGTTACAGCAGTTCCAGAATCAGAAGCTCCTCAATCCAGGGGGCCTCTTATGTCCCCAGGTACACATAATAACGCATTTTCAGGAGTGGTTCAGAGCGATGTGCCTGAGCCACATCCAGAGGCTGCACAAGCTTCAGGCGTAGAGTCAGTTCCTGAAACTTGACTTACAAAACAGCAATCTTATGGGTATTTTAGCAGGGTATCCAGGTTTTGTTTATCAAATTCTTCTTTGATCAACTTATATCATGGCAGGAGAAATTTATGTTGATTGATATGGCGAAGGAAGTTTACAAAACAGCAATCTTATGGGTATTTTAGCAGGGTATCCAGGTTTTGTTTATCAAATTCTTCTTTGATCAACTTATATCATGGCAGGAGAAATTTATGTTGATTGATATGGCGAAGGAAGTTTGCCACCAAGAAATGGTGATATGTATGTGGAGGTATCAAAGTCAAACAAATAGTCCTGTTTTGCCTGTTACAATGTAGTTGAGCTTTAGTTATGCAACGTTTTATTTAGGGTAGCTTGTGGTCCATTTGGTCATTATCTCTTTTTCTTTCTTTTGGTGGCTGTCATAGAACTTGGGATAGACAGACACAAGGCCAAATGAATTATTTATTTTTTTCCATTTTCCAACAATTTCATTTGAATTTGTTAGTCTCTGTATAATTTAAAATTTCATACTGTTCTCTGCCATCTTAATGGGTAGAATTCTGCTTTGTATGAAACTTCAGAAAGTTTGGAATTTTTATATAAATATTAAAAATTAAAATATTAGGACTCAGCGAAAAAACCTGAACTTTTTACTGCTGCTTCAATTTACTACTACATTTTAAACTTTTATTGATTAAATATACGTGTATGTATCTTTTGTTTTCCAGTAAAACAATTGATCAAAATGTTATTTAATCTTATGGAATTTCTTGTTTTTCTAACACTATTTTTTTATTGTTTCATCGTCCGCTGTAAATTATGCCATTTAGGGTTTGTCAATTAAAAAAAAAAAAAAAAAAAAAAAAAAAAAAAAAGGAATGGTAAAGGGAAAGCACCAGTAGCTATTGCCAGATTAACTTGGGTTGGTGTCATTGGACGGTCTCAGGTGATGGTATAAATCTCATTGGAATTTTAGTAGAGCTCCAAAAGGCTTAAAATTATTTGAAGAAGATAATTTAAAATGAAAGACTTAAGAAAGTCAGAATATTTTTGTTGCGGTGGTTTTATATGGATAAAGCAAATCCATTGATGTGAATAAATGCCCATTCGGTACAGTTTCAACACACAAATTTACTCATGAACTTTTTATCTTTAACTTGTAACACACTGAATTTTACAAATGATCTATTATATATTTAAATTTATAAATTTTGATAACATTATACACATTTTCACAATAATATCAATAAATTTTTAGAGTTTTTGACTTTGATCTGTAAAATATCGATTTGACACATAGAATGACTTTTGGAATAAAAATTTTCATAAATTTTTAACTTTTTAATGAGTATTTAATTGATCTAATTTTGCAAGTTAAAGTGTTCAATAAAATAAATTTGAAAATTGAAGTATTTAATAGGTGTAATTTTAAAAATAAATTTGAAAATTGAAGTATTTAATAGGTGTAATTTTATAAATTGAAATATTTGATGATTAAAATGAAAGTTAATTATGCCACAAGGTTTAAGTAACAAAGCTCAAAGGTGAATTTATACTTTTGGCCAATGATTTTTCAATCACTTGATGTGAATAAAGACCCATTTCGGCTTTCCAAAAAAATGAACAATTTTTTGGTGTTGAAATACCATATTTCACTACAATGAGTGAAATGGGTAAACTTATGTATCTTGCCACCGGAGATGTTCGTGGGTCAATTTGGTTCAATTTAAATATAATAATAAAACTAAACTTAAAGTGGGGGTTTTAAAAAAATTCAAATCAAATCAAACTTTTGATGGCAGTTTGATTTGATTTCGTTTGATTTAACGATTTAGACAATCTAAAAGAAGAGAAATTAAATTTCCTTGTTTAACTAGTTCAGAAGAGAAAAAAAGGATTAACATTGTACCAAATATAGAAAATAAACTAACAGAAGTATGACATAAATACATGATTTAGGTGGCTATTGAAAGTTTTTAATTATATTTATTTTGAATATGGTATTTAATAAGACGTTAATTAATTTATGAATATGTAATTTAAAATTTGAATTTATTTTTATATTTATTACTAAAAAGTTAAATTGCTAACATATAACTTGTATATGATAGATATCTGTGATGCACAAAAACGTTTTAGCAATAGAATTTTCCCGTTTTGAAAACGGAAACGCTTGAAAATGGCTCGACTCGAAAATGTTTCGGGTCCGTTTCCATAAATAGTAGAAATAGGACACCCATTTCCCCTGTATGGATACGTTTCTTCAATTGAAATATATATATATATAAAACAGATTGCAAATTCAAATCAATTTTGATGATTTGCAAATCTAATTTGGAAAATTAATTATATTATATGTAAATCTGATTTGGAAAAGGAATTAAAACAACGTAATTTCATTAAATAATATCGTTTTCATACCTCTCCAAAACTTATTTACATATCTCTCTAAATTCAATTAAAGAATAAGAACAAAATAAGAATCTCAAGAAGCAGTCATAATCAATCAGCGGTTTTTGCAACATAGTTCTCCTTTTTGAAGAGGTTACAGGTATGAATCTTTTTTTTTTTTTTTCAATTTTTTTTACCTGAAGAAATCATAGAAACCCAAAAACAAAAAGCGAGAAAGTAAATCGTAGAAACAAGAGAGTGGAAGCCCAAACATAGAGACAGAGAATGAGAGAGGAAGAGTTTTTTAAAGGTTCAGCCTTGCAATGTTTGAAATTTTAAGAGTTAAACTACTGTAAATAATCTTAATTTTCTTTCCACCATTTGATTTGTTGCTTTTACACCTAGACCATTAGATTTAAAGCTGGTTTAATGACTATTTTCAGATTTTGCATAATAAGTTTTATATTAAAATAATAAAATATATGAGTAATTTTTTCTTTTGATATAATTGTGCCAATCTAATAAAGTCTCATAAATATATTTTGAAGAGACTTAAAAAAAACTAAATTATTAAGTAATTATACTTAATTATTAAGCAATTTTTGTAGATTTTAAATGTTAAAATTACATCTTTTCAAAAAGTATCATATTATTATGTAACTAAAATCGGGAAAAAAAATTATAAAATCTTGCTTATCAAATTTTCAGTTATAGGTATATTCTAAACCGTTTTTTTTTTTTTAATATTAGATTCATATTTAAAAAATTTTTGTACTTCAAAGCTTATGTAAAACTTATTCATTTTAGAATGTCAAATTATACAAATTCAAAACACATAATAAAATGTCTATCACAATTTTTTGAAAATAGCTTTAATTGAAAACTCAAAATTTATTTTTGATTTCTATTAATTTATTTCAATATGAAATTATTTTTTATAATGTCTTATCGTATATTTCATATCATACTTTTATTTTCTGTATGCTAGTAAAAGCCAAAATTTAAAGTGATAGGGATATTTAATTTTTACTTAAATAATAATTATGTGGCAAATGAGTTCTCACTAATCAACTCATTTGAGAAAAAAGTTTATGGAAAAACTATTATAGTAATTAATTATAAACCAAAGTATTTAAATATTAGTGTATTTGATTATAAAAATTTTAATTTCAATCTATTAATTATTTATTGTCAACAATATGTTTATATTTTGATGATTTATTATCATAATTAATTTAATTATTTTTTAAATATTTTAATATTTGTTATTATTTTTTCATAGAAAACATATAGTTTGTCTTCGTGGATTCTTCAAATTCTAGTTTTACTCAAGCAAGTACCACTAGTAGTGTCTCTTTTTCAAAAACTAAGGAGGAAGAATATAACCCTTTATGGAAATATGTGACAAAAATTGAGAAAACTGGAGATGGAGGGGGTAATTGTAAATGGATATGTAATTTTTGCGGTGAAGAAAAGTAAGAGACTTACACTAGGGCAAGGGCTCATCTATAGAAAACCATTGGGAAAGAAACTAGTATTTGTAGAAAGGTAGGGAATGATAGTGTTTCTGAAATAAAAAGAAATGGAGGATGAAGTTGCAATTAGAATTGCTAATTCACAACCTAAACGAGTTCCTTTGCCTGCTATGATATGTAATTTTTGCGGTGAAGAAAAGTAAGAGACTTACACTAGGGCAAGGGCTCATCTATAGAAAACCATTGGGAAAGAAACTAGTATTTGTAGAAAGGTAGGGAATGATAGTGTTTCTGAAATAAAAAGAAATGGAGGATGAAGTTGCAATTAGAATTGCTAATTCACAACCTAAACGAGTTCCTTTGCCTGCTATTTCTATTCCTTCCTTATTTATAACAAAATCGAGTGTGAAAGATACTTTAAAGAGGAGAAGAGTTAATGATTCTCCACTTGCTAAAGCTTTTGACATGCAAACTAGAGCTCAATCAGATGTAAAGATTGTTAGGATGTTTTATATTGAAGGTCTACCATTTAATTTTGCTAAAAATCCTTATTATGTGAGTTCTTATTCATTTGCTGCTAATAATGCTTTAGGTGGTTACGTGCCTCTTGATTATAGTAATTTGAGAATTACATTACTTCAGCAAGAAAAGACAAATGTTGAGAGGTTATTAGAACCTAAAAAAATATACTTGGTCAGAAAAGGGTGTTACTGTTGCATGTGATGGATGGAGTGATCCTCAAAGGAGGCATTTGATTAATTTTATGATTATTTCTGAACCTGTCCTTATGTTTGTCAAATCTGTTGATTGTTCTGGTGAAGTGAAAGATGAGCATTTTATTGTTAATTTGATGAAGGAGGTAATTGATGAGATTGGCAATGAAAAAGTGGTATAAATCATTACAAATAATGCACCTAATTGTAAGGTTGTTGGAGAAATCATTGAGGATATGTATCCATATATTTACTGGACTCCTTATGGTACATACTCTTAACCTTGCTTTGAAGAACATATGTGCAACTAAAAATGTGGAAATTAATCAAGACAAGTATGATTTGTGTCATTGGATCACTGAAATTCACGGGGATGCTTTGCAAATCAAGAACTTTATAATGAACCATTTCATGAAACTTGCAATGTATAATCGGTTTAGCACTTTGAAGTTGCTTTCAGTTGCTAACACTCGTTTTCCCTCTATTATTTACGCTTAAAAGATTTAAACTTGTTAGGTGTGCTTTAGAAGCAATGATTATGAGTGAACAATGGTCACAACACCGAAAAGATGACTAAGGCAAAGCTAGATTTGTTCGTGAGAAAATGGTGGTGAGGATTGATGGAAAAATGTTGATTATATTCTTGTTTTTACTGCTCCCATTTATAACATGATTAGAGTTTGTGACATAAACAAGCCATTACTTCATCTGGTTTATGAGTTGTGGGATTCTATGATCGAAAATGTGAGGAAAGTTATTTAAGAGCATGAAGGAAAGCAATCAGATGAGCTTTTTGCTTTTTATTATGTGGTCCATCGGATTCTTGTATGGTTCTAACACACCTTTACTTCAAAAGTTTGCTTTTAGAGCGCTTGGACAACCTACTTCCTCCTTTTATTGTGAAAGGAATTAAAGTACTTATTCCTTCATTCATTGATGTAGAAGGAATAAACTATCTGAAAAATAATTATTTAGTCTTGAGATTTGATGAAAGTATTTAAATAGTCCTGTCTTTTAGACAAATATCCAGAACCTCCTCGGCATT